AGTTCAGCTCCCAGTTCTTCTCATATATTCTATTTCCTTCTATTTTTAATTTGTGTGTGTGTGGTACTGTTGAACCCAAGCCCTTTGTGCTGAGCTACCTTCCCAGCCCTTTTTATTTGCCTGCCTGTGTTTGAAATTGTGATTTTTTTTGCCTCAGCCTACAGAGTGTTGGGATATAGGTGTGTGCCACCAGGCTGGGCTCCTTTATTTTTAATTTTAAGACCTCTGTTTTTCCTTTTTGGGCTATGAATCTTCCTCTTTTGAATTGCGAGGTGTATTCACAGATAGAGTTTAGTAACTTTTAAAATTGTTTAGTTATTTCATTATTGTCATTTTCCTCTTTTTTATAACCTCTGTCATAGTGAAGATTTGACTCAAGGATCTGTGGTTCTTATTTAAGAATTAATCTCTAAAATGGATTGGAAGGCTTTTAACTTGTAGGTAAATTTGAATATTGAACTGTTTCACTTCCGAGTGACCTGATAGTATCTTTTATTTGTGAGACTCTTGGCCCCCACCCTCTGCCATTATCATACTGAGCTATTTTCCTTTGGCTATTTAAATATGCCAGGGCATGGTCTTCCATTCTGGATGCTAGAGTTCTGTGAATCTAGAAAGGGGAGAAGACCTCCTCCACTTTCAATTTCTGCTTAATCTCCCTTGATTTAATGCAGTGCAAACCTTTTGATGTCCTGCACCAAGCCCTGCTTTATCCTCCTTATTGTACATGCCTGGAGTTTTCTGTGAATGAGAAGGAGAAATTGCTTGTTATAAGGAATAGAATAGGGGATGGTGGCTAGAAGATAATTTTTAAAATATGCTTTTCAAAAGTTAGTTTAGGGGCTGGGGAGATGGCTCAGTGGAATAAGTGCTTCCCTGGCAAGTGCAAGGGCCTGAGTTCAATCCCTGGCTTTGCAAAAAAAAAAAAAAAAAAAAAAAAAGTTAGCTTAACTTCAATAAAATCATAAACACACATAGTTAATGAATTTTTACACACTCGTGTATCCAGGTAACACCATTAAGTTTAATCCATGTCCCTTCTCAGTTAAACCACTCACTACGATAACCATTATGTTGCCCTCTTTCACCACAGATAACTTTTGTCTGTTCTTTATTTTTTTCTCAAGGTCTCTGTACTGAGCTTTGGCCCTGGCTCCTGCTCTCCTCCCTTTCTCCTTCCCTCCTGCCCTTTGCTGGTCTCACTCACTCTCCTTTCCACCCGCCTTTCCTCCCTCCCTTCTTCCTTCCCTATTTCAGATGGATCTTGCTAAATCCCTAGGTTGGCCAGGCTGGAACTTGCAGCCCTCTTCCTGCCTCAGCTTCAAGGGCCCTTGGGTTACAGCACACATCATTATGCCTGGCTAAATTTTACCTATTCTTGAACTTGATTTAAATGGAATCATCCCCTGGGTATCTGTGTATTTGTGTATGTGTGCGTGGTGTATCTCACCTTTTGCTTATGATTATGATGGATTTACTCATGTCCCAAGTTAGCTATAATTCATGCTTTTTCATTTTTGTGTACTACATTGTATGAATATAATTATTAATTAATCTATATTTATACATACTATAATTTATTCATGCATTTGATTTTTTTGACACTGAAATTGTTATCAGTTTGGGGCTATTACAAAAAATTCTTCCATGAGTTTTTTTTTTGTTTTGTTTTGTTTTTGTGGAACAGAGGCTTGAACTCAGGCCCTTGCACTTGCCAGGGAAGTGCTTATTCCACTGAGCCATCTCCCCGACCCTTCTTTTTTTAAAAATATATATCTATGTCTATATCTATATATCTATATCCATGTCTATATCTGCATCTATATCTATATCTAACATTTATCTGTATATATATTAAAGGCTGCCTCAGCCTTCCCAGCACTGGGATTGCAGGCATGTGCCACTATGCCAGGTTTCAGTGGCCAGCACAGCGCACCCGGGGCTCAAGGGGCCAGCATGGCATGTGGCACCTGGGATTGAACCCAGGTCCTTGTGCTGGCCAGGCAAGTGCTTAGACCACTGAGCTGTCTCGCCACCCTCCATGAGCATTCTTGAACATGTCTTTTGGTGTGCACTTTCATGTACTTGCTGGAAACATACCCAGGATGTTCTTGGTGGATATATATTTTTCAGCTTTAATCAACACAGTCAAACAGGTTTCCACCGTACTTGCACTGATTTCTCCCCTTGAATGCTTTCTGAGAGTCCTGGTTGCTCTGCAACCTAGTCAAACCTTTAATTTTAGGCCTTCTAGTGGGTGTGTAGAGGTATCTCATTTGTATGTCTCTAAGGATTAAAGATCTTCAGTATCACCTTCTACATTCCTTTGACATTTGACTACCTTCTTTTGTGAAGTGCTTATCCAGGTCTCTTATCCATTTGGGTTGCCTGACTTTTCTTATTCATTTGCAGAACTTCTTTATATATTTTGGACAGGAGTCCTTCATCAAGTATGCTTTTAGCAAGTATCTTTTTCCAGATTCTCTTTCCTTTTTTTTTTTTTTTCCATGGTGTCTTTTGGTGAACAGAAGTACTTTTATAGTGAGAAACAGAAGCCTCAGTTATGACTAACCTAAAAAAGACTTTCCTTCAAAAGTCTGAGCTACTTTTCTAAGCTTATGCTGCACTTTAGTGGAATTTGTGCTGAGCCCAATACTATCTTTTTCTAGGGTCCAGGATGAGGCTTCTTGTGCCAGCTGTCATCCAGAGGGAACGTTCACCAGACACAAACTATACCACGCTATTCTAGGGTCTCTGGGACCACTAAACAGGAAGAGAGAGCTCAATCTTGGGTTGCTATGGCAGAATGTATTACAACAAAGCATTGATCTCTAAAGACAGGACATTTGCCAGGCCAGGGACCACTGTTTTTATAACCTTTCTTTACAACCTGCTTGTTAATAGTGTAATATCATTTTGGACAAGTCTCAGGCAATCTTGTGGAAGCTCCCCACCTTCAATAAATCGAAATAGATGGAACATTTTGTTATACAAGTATAACAAGGCATTATTACCTTTAGCAAGGAGTGATCCTCAGAGATAGTTGGTCTACTAGTGAATCATCGACCAACTGAAGGGCTGTAAGTCAGCTGTTCAAACACCGGAACCACCATTCCACTATTTTTGATCTTTTCAAACCACATAATGTCATAGAGTCAATTTAGTGGCTTTAGTACCTTTTCTGAAAATAGCTTATGTTGAAAGTATGCTAGGATATAAAAATCCTCAAAACAAGCTGCTTTGTTATGTACATTACAGAGTAGAGGCTCAATAAATATTTCTTGGATAAACTTGAAGGCGTGGAAATAGGTGTATGGAATCATACGTGCCTTAAAATTACTAGGTTTTGAATTCTGTTGTCTGAGCTAAGTGGACAAGAATATGGACCTTATGTGTCCACATGTCTCTAAGAAAACTCTTAGAAATCATGAGGATTAGCTCTTACTTTCAGGTGTGTGCCTTTCTTATACTCCTGTCATAGGGGATGCCAATCTCCTGCCCACGGCAGCTGACAGGTAGGACTCAGCTACACTCCAGGCACTTGTTAGAGAATAAAACGTACTGATTTCAATGCAGTATGACAAAAGTTTGGTCAAGACATACAAAATACTGGAATAGACTTGTGAGTCTAGAAATAAACCCATTCATCTAGACTCAGTTGATTTTCACTTTGATGTGGGTGCCAAAACCATAGAGGAAGGAAAAATGTAATCTTTCAGCAAAGGATCAGTAAAGACAACTGGACAGTTACATGCAAAAAGGTTGGATATTCACAACATTCCACACAGCATATATAAAATTAACTCAAACCAACCAGACTTAACTGTGTGAGCTAAAGCAATAAAACTCTTAGAAGAAAATGTAGTGATAAATCTTTTTCTCTTCTATAAGTACAGGGATAGAAGCTAGGACCTTCATACTAAGCTACTTTGCTACATCCTCAGATTTTTTTATTTTTAACTTTTGAGATAGGTTCTTGCTAAATGGCTAAGTTGCCCAGGGCTGTGTTTGAACTTCAGATTTTCCTGCCTCAGCTCCCCAGAGTGCTGAGATTATGAGCATGTGCCACCTTGCCAGGCTGGAATAAGTCTTTATGATCTTGAGCTGCATCATGGTTTCGTCAATAAAACAACCATAGAATAAGCAAGCAACTAAGGAAAAGGTAGATAATTGGAGATAACCCACAAGGCAGGAGAAAATATTTTCAAAGCATTTATTTGTCATCTTTTATTGATAAAGATGTAGTGTCCAAAATATATAAGGAAGGGCTAGGGAGATAGCTCAGGAGAATAAGCACTTGTCTGACAAGTGCAAGGTCCTGAGTTCAATCCCCAATACCAAACCAAACCAAACCAAACAAAATATATAAGGAACCTTTATTATCAAAAATTAAAGATAACCAATCCATTTTAAGAACTGGGGGCAAGATAGCTCAACAGACTAAGCACCTGCTTGAGCAAGTGCAGGGTCCTGGTTCTAACCCTGGCACCACATGCCACTCTGGCTCCACCCCAGGGTGTGCTGATCCGGCACCGAGACTGGGCATGGTAGTGCATACCTGTAATCGCAGCTCTGGGGAGGCTGAAAATAGGAGGATCACTATGAGTCCAAGCTGCATATAAGAACCTATACCAAATAAATTTTTTAAAAATGGGAAGAGGGGGCTGGGAGCATTCAGTAGTAAAGTGATTGCCTGGAGTAAGGCCCTGGCTTTTTTCACCAGGAAAACACACACACACACACACACACACACACACACACACACACACACAAACTGAGACAGAGACAGATGTATTTGGACAGACATTTCTCCAAGGAACACACACACAGTGATCAATAAACATAAGAAAAGGTACTTATCACTAGTTATAATTAGGACAGTGCAAAAACAAAATCACAATGAAATACTATTTCATAAGCAGCATGGATATAATAGAAAAGATAAAAAATAACACAAGTTGTTGAGGATGTAGAGAAATTAGAACCCTTAGATGTTGTTATCAGGAATGTAAAATTGTGCAGTTGCTGTGTAAAATAATTAAACATAAGCATGGAGTTACAATATGGCCTGGCACCGAGCAGGCTGCACAGTGAAGCAGACACCCGCCTAGCAGAAGAGAAAGCCCAGCAAACCAGCCAAGAAACAGGGCTTCCCCGAACTCCCACCTGGGGACAATCTCTGGGATACTCTCATCCCAGAACTCCTGGACTGTGATGTGGGCAACCCAAGAGACTGGAATGAGGGCCGTGACTCCTGAGGTCCAGAGCAGAATTCCTCCCAGGATTAGCAGTCGCCCCTTGAGATCTTGCTGTCTCTGTCCAATTCTCAGACAGTCCAAGCCAAGCCCCGAGACCAGCAGGCCGAGAAACCCCAGCCCGTTAGACAGAAACATTAAAATCCGGGAGATCCTGAGTTCAGCCGGCAAAGCCAGGAAGGAATCAAAGTCCTTGCATTGTCTCCCCACTTCTTCCTGGATGACGCAGGTTTTCCACAGTCCCATGGTCCAGTTTTCCATTTCATTTAAGTCCAGATTGAGGTTCTTCCAGTGTGGCAGATAGTTTGTAAGACAGGATAAAACCCATCCGAGCAGAGATAATGCAAGACCAACCGATTGCATTGCTGTTCTAAAGACTAAAGCCATTATAGAGTCCTTCGAGTTTTAGTCAACTTGACTGTTGCCTTTGGGTGTTACGAAAAGCAGTGTGACACTTGATTTATCACTTGCGGAGCTCAGAGGTATTTTTTCACTGTGTATATAGAAGGATTCTTGCCAGAGTTGCTATTGTTTGAGCCCATGTAGAAAAGGATTCAGAAACGGACAGGGAAATAATGCTGCAAACCAGTAATACCAAGGTGTGGCCAAGATCATGTTCCTGTCCCATGGGCTGGATTTTGTAGAAGGCACTTTGTCAGTGAAATAAAATTAAGTAGTAGTAATCCTCCTTTCATTGTTAAGCTATAAATGGCTTTCATGTTGTTCCCAACCTTTTTAACAAGTCTAAGAATTAAGAAGTGTAAATGCCAAAATGTTTAATTGAAGGTTTTGGTTCACCTCCTCCTGCTTTATGTCATACTAATTGTACCTGTCAGATTTTCATCTTGTTATAGTTCTCACATTTCAATGTGTTTTGTTATGATAATTCTGGTGTTACGTTTTTTAATAGGTTCAAGGAAAGTATTTCTAAACCAAATAAATCAATCTTATCAGAAAAAAAAAACAAACAATATGGCCTGGCAATTCTACTCCTACATATATGCCCAACAGATATGAAAACACGTCCATGCAAAAAGTTGTACATGAATGTTCACTGAACATTATTAATAATAATTTAAATGAGCAAAAAATGTACATATCTATCAACTGATGAATGGATGAGTAAAATGTGAAATATCGTAACAATGGAATGTCAGCCATTAAGGAGAGAATTGGTGGTATATGCTCCTGTTTTGATCTATTTCCTTTTGTCAATAACAACTTCACAGTTCGGGTAAATTCTAATGAAGTAAAGCTATTTTGGCTCATGGTTCTGGAAGTTTAAGGTCGAGGGGCCACATCTAGTGATGACTTTCTTGTTGCCAGCATCCAGGGCATCACATGACAAGAGACAGGTGTGTGTGCGTATGTGTGTGTGAGTGAGTGTGTGTGTGTGTGTGTGTGTGTGTGTGTATCTCCTCTGATTCATTCTCTTTCTTGCCCTAGCCACCCATATTTAATTATAGGCTACAAGGCCTTACCTCTTAACATCATCACTAAATTCCTACTTCTTAGCACCTCACAATGGGGATAAATGTCAACACATGAGTCCTTGGCAGACACACTAAAACTATATTTAAATCATCACACCTACAATATTGTTATGGCTTACATCTAGATGTCCCCTAAAAGCCTTATGGCCTTATAGGTGGGGTTTTTCAGAAGTGATTGGATCTGGGGTGCAAATGTGGATTAAGGGTGTAACACTGGGGTTAAGGGCATGTGGTGCTCGATTAGCCCACCAATTTGTTTATATGTCAGTAAGACATGACTGAGCTCCACATATCAAGAATCATAATCAGGGTGCATACACTTATTTCAAATTTTTCCCAATTAATTTATGACAGTCTTCTAACTAAAATTACAGAGACTTTTTGAGAAGCAACCCACAATAAACTGGTTTGATATGCCAAATGATATTAAGTGCTAGGTAGTAAAATAAAGTGTATTTACCTAGATAAGGAACTTAGCAGTGGGGTTACGCCTTTACATGAGTAGTTCCAGGAAGGCTGCTGTGATGGGGTAATATTTGTACCAAGACTCAAAGCAAGTGAGGGCATAAGACAGCAAAAGCAAGTACAGAGGCTCTGGGTTCTGCCTGGTATAGAAAAGGAACAGTAAGGTCCCAGGAGGCCACATAACTACGGCAGGGATTGAATTGGGAGTGCTTTAGGTACCCGGGTGGGAGGTGAATTATGGGAAGACTTCAAGTTTTGTTCCGAGTGGGATGGTGGGCCACTGGAGAGCTTGGCCTTGGGTTTTAAAGGCTCACTCTGGCTCCTCTATTGACAATGATTTGTAGCAGGACTAACTGGAACTAGAAGGCAAATTAGGTGACTGAATCCTTATAGGCAAGAAACAAAGGGCAGCAGTAGTGAAGAAAGTGTGCTCTGACTGAATTATGAACCTTTGAGGAAAAATTGAGACTAAGGTTTCCTGATGGGCTAAAGGTGGGATCTGAGAGAAAAATCACAGTCAAGGGCAAGTCCATGATTTCCAATGTCAGCAAACTGAAGGACAGCGCTGCCAGTTAGGGAGAAGGAGTTTGCACTGAGAATGTTAATTTGGATATTCTTATTAAAAATCCAAGTGACACTCCTATTAAATCCAATTCTTATTAAAAATCCATAGCAGATATGCCCTGAGGCTTGAGGGGAATCCAGATTCCATCTGGAAGATAATGGACAAGAGTTGCTACATAGAATTTCAAAGTGAAAAGTAATGTACAGATAGTAAAGCATAATCTAAAATTAAAACAAATAAACTAGGGACAAGAAAGGATATAGATCAATAAAACAGGCAACAGAACTTGAAACACGCCTAAAGAGCCTCGTGGCATTTGTAGATTTAAGTGCTGATGTTTTCACTATTTGTGCTAAGCTAAAGCTTGAATGATAATTAGTCTGTAACTTTGTTGAGTTAAGCGATTTTTAAATGGAAAAATCTTTATTGTATTCCTGCAATATATATAATTATTGTCAAAAATTTAAAGCAATATAGAAAAGCACTCACCCTGATTCCCTTCAGCTTTGAGATAATCTTGTTTTAATAGCCTTGCAGAACTTGATTCTGAGATAAGAACTGCACGCCTTGTGGATGTTGAAATAGATCATTTAGCTGTGAGCCAAGCTAATGTTCATTGTGGAGATGGGAATGCACTTTCGCTTTATTTCTTGGTCACAGACACGCAGTAACTCCTTTGAAGTGGGTAGTTTCTATATCACTCAAGAGTATGAGGACTTATTGAAGCTACAGAATAATTTTAGTGATGTCATGGTCAAAATCATACCAAGCAATAGGTACTGATGTTTCCAAAGGAGCTGCCCTTTCTCAATAAAATTATGAAAAACAAAACAAAACAAAATAAAACAAAGGAGCAGCCCCCTGCTAACTGCTCTGTGTGTGTCACATCCTGGAACCCTCCCTACAGCCCCTTTGTTACAGATGGGGAGGCTGAGAGTTAGATGAACTGAGTTACCTGCCCATGATCAGGGAAAAATAGCAAAAGCAGGATCTAAACCCAACTTTTATCGTTGACCTTAAAATCCAAACTTTTAGTAAGATTACTTCTTGGAGTATTAAGATTTTATTGTATGTAATAAAACATCTTCCAAGTCAGCTGGGCATCAATGGGGGAAGGAATAAATTATGAAATAACTGCCGCTCACTCCATATTATATAACAAATTATTTTCAGCTATTAATAACTATAAAAAGTAGAATAAACAAACCCATCTAAAATAGAATAGAAAATATTTAAGTAAATAAAAAATTGAAAAAAATAGGAAAAATATAGATAAGTATTTTACTTCTGTGGGTGTAAAGGAACAATTTTGGAACAAAAGAGAAATAGCCCTTCCGGCGGTGACGACCTCCCCACGAGAACATGCCCCTCGCAACAGATCTCCTTCATCCCTCTCCAGAGGAGAAGAGGAAGCACAAGAAGAAGCGCCTGGTGCAGAGCCCCAGTTCCTACTTCATGGACGGGGAGTGCCCATGATGCTATAAAATCACCACGGTCTTTAGCCATGCACAGGCGGTAGCTCTGTGTGTCAGCTGCGCCACTGTCCTGTGCCAGCCTACAGGAGGGAGAGCAAGGCTCACAGAAGGATGTTCCTTCAGGAGGAAGCAGCACTAACAGTACCCTCAATCACGATGAGTGGGAAGCCATGCCAAAAAACACATTTTGGATAAAAAAAGAGAAAATACTTTATTTATTTACAAAATAAATTACAGGGGCTGGTGAGATGGCTCAGTGGTCTAAAGCGCCTACTTAGAACAAGCTTAGCAAAGCACAGAGACCGCAGTTCAATCCCCCAGCACCACATGCCAGCCAGCTCCGCCCCCTGGTGGGCTGAGCTGGCCACACACACACACACACACACACACACACAAATAAATAAATATAAAAAATTTTAAAAGCCAAAATAAATTACAATACTTTACACATACTAAAAATTTTCAGCACTTATAGACAAAAAAATCACTAAAAACATTAAAAGACAACTTGCAAAGAAAAAATATTTGTCATGTATATGACCAAATAGTGCTAACGTGTTATAATCTTTTATCCAACAATAAGAAAAATGCTAATCTCAATGGCAAAATTGGCAAAAGACATGACTAGATAACTTACAGATGAGAAAATACAGAGGGGTGATATATTAATTCCAAATATTCAGCTCACTAGTAGAGAGTTGGAAATGAAAACAAAGAAATGGTATCACTTGCCTTTGAAGTTAGGAAAGGTGAATGAAGATGATGAACACTGGCCTAGCATGGGAAGTGCGGACCGCAGTGCCAGTGTCTACTGATAGAACGCCTGTGCGAGGCAGCCAGGCAACGGGCATCACATTCACAAGGAGTGCCTTCATCTCCTGATTATTTATAATAGGAGTAATACTAGTAATATTACTGTACCGATGCCCCTGTGCATAAAGGCTTCTGTTTGCAAACACTTTGGTTTGAAAACCAAAGCATTTGACAAATTTTTGCTTCCATTTCTGAACATCAGGTGACAAACAGGAACATGGGGAACTTCCCCAACAAATGCAAAGACAGCCATGTTCCCAAAATAGTAAAACACAGTTTGCAAGCTGAGGCATCGCTGTAGTGCCCTCTCCAGGTGTCTAAGTTAGGGCACCAATGGAAGGCTGGCAGAGACAGCTGTACAACAAAAAGATTATAAATAATTATAAAGCTTAATAATATAAAGGAATTAT